TTTGTCAAAGTCCTCTAATCTTGATTTACCTATTTTAATTCACCCACTCTATTGATAGAAGCTTGATAAACAATTTAGCACACAAATTAGTCACAACTGGTTTTATTTGCACAACATAAATTAAAAATGAACTACAACAATTTCCTTTTTTGAGACATGATGGAGTTGTGGACATTATTCTTTAAATCTTTCCAGTTGCGACTGCCCAGTGCTGGTTCTGCTTCAAGTGCCTTGAGGCAGACCTCTTTACCAGGAACTCTTTGCATAGTGTTGCACTGCCCCAGTTGTCACCACACCTCTGCTTTTTCTGCAGAACTCCACGGCCTGCGCTGGCGTTTGTTTTTGCTGAGTAACTGTAGGTCCACAGCTGAAATAGAAATGACAAATGTGATAGACATTCTCAATATTGATAAATCAAAAATTTATCTGGTGATCTAATTTGTAATGTGTTGTTAATCCACATCTACTGTAATTAACACTACTCAAGTCTGAGAACTGAGCAGTACCTGTTTTCTCTGTCCTTTTGAGCTTGTGTGATGGTCCTGTAGCTGAGGCCTGTTGAATCAGCATGTCTGATTCTTCTGCAGCAGAAGAACATGTCACCTCACTATTAACCACGAATCATTGTCTTATCAGATAATGCAATATTTCATTCCACAGTGCTCCTCGCATGACCCAAAAAATGTTCATACCGTCTGAAACTTGAGATGATTCAGATGCAGTATTTAATCAGAACATGATACTTTTAGAGCACAAGCTGGCACACATTTTTCTGACTGTACTCTCTGTATGTGGACATCTTCTGAAACTTAGACAGATCATTCTTTAGGATGAAAGGAGCCTATCACAGCAATTTCCTTGTGTGGACCACCCAAAAGGTCCACACAAGAAGAAATGTCCACACAAGAAAGGTGTTCCGTCAGGGGTTGGTTCGCACAAGTATATAAAGAAACCCACAGACTCACACACACACCAGAAGTTATTGATTAGTCTAGGGCAGGGCTGTCAACCCTTAGTTTGGCTCCATCAGCTAAACCAGTGGTCTGGAGCCTCCTGGTCTCAGAATATGTGTGTTTGCACCCATCATTCCTGACCAAATAAGATTTGTAGGCACTGACAATATACTGAAGTTGCCCTTGATGCAGTACTCAAAATTGGCATATTTCTGTATAAATGAATTAAAGTTAAACTTCCTAGAACGTGCTTTGGATAAAAGCATCTGCTACTGTAAATAATGATGTTAACTACGCTGTGTTGACTGGGAAGAGGAAGCAGGAAAGAAAGGAGAGAGGGCGAGGCAACTAACTTCCCCAACATAACAGGGGGCAGGAGACTAATTGGACTCTGATCACTTCACACAGTGTTTCGTACCAGGGTTTGGGTTCCCAGTTGTTATTATGGAGCCATCGAAAGTCCTAATGACAACAGTAATTGTATTAATGGACTGATACACAGCCATACACAGGCAGCCAGAGTTTTGGATTTACACCTTGTCACTGTGTTCTTTTTGCCAGGAGCAGTCTGCATGGGAAAGCAGTGATTGACAGGTTGTTAGCACCATTGTCCAGAGAGTCTATAGTCGACCAGCTGATGGCTTCATCTGAGGGACAATCAGTCTGTCAGTAAATAAGCCTGTTTTTATTTGTGGCTTGTTGTCACTTCATTTCCACAGAGCCAATTAGTGTCATTGTTGCATGGGGAATAAAGCACAAAGCAAAGACATCATATCACTGATGCTGTAACAATGTGACAGTGAATAAGCTGGGAAGGGTTCATTGCTTGCTCATGGACAAAGTCGGGTTGTAGGAACTAAACCGGGGTAGAAACAGAACAAAACAAAAACAAAAAATAGGTTAATTGGCCTAGACAAAAACATAAGACGTATCCATTCAGGTGTTACAGAGCTTTCGGTCCAATCACACGATCTTCATCAGTTCACAGAATGACAATTTGTTAAGAGCATTTTTTCTCATTTTGACTTTTCATTCATGTAAGCTTAAAAAAACTGAGCTTTAAACAAAACAGTTGAAAGACAACCTCCCCAGCTACTTCACCTGAGGATCATGCAATTTAATCGAAAGCTTCGTTAACAGCCACTAAAATGGATCTTGGGGCGATGATTTAAAGGTCACCAGCTCTCTCCTCATTGTTAGTCCTATTAAACATGAAATCCCATTTAGTCAAATTAAAACCAGTGTGTCAACAACCCAGCTGTATTGCCTGGTACTCTGTGCTCAGTTAAGTGCAACAAATAGAGTGATTTAGTTTTAAATAAATGAATGCTGTATAAAAGCTACTGGAGTTAATTGCAAAAGGCCTTTGAATATTGCTGTGTGTGTAAAAACCAGTTGCTGACATTATGATACACTATGGATTGAAGCAAAAGAAGGCAATGAAGTGACATTAAAGTAATTATGAGTGTACTGTGACTAGTCTTGTCATCGGTGTGTGAATGTGTGGGTGAATGGGTGAATGTGTATGATCTCTTGTAAAGTGCTTTGGCCAGTGTAACACACTGTGAAATATGTGCTATATAAATACAGTCCATTTACCATTTACCAGCGTTCCTCAAGGCTGTGCCTTGAATCAATGCTAACACCTGGTTTTCATGTTAATACAACAGAAAAGGACAACAACTGAGGCAGTTTGAGAACATTTAATATCTAATTTTAAATATATTCCAGTTTCTGTAAGAATAAACCATTCCAGACAAAAATAAAATCTGTGTAAAAATGTTTCCTTTAACATTCCAATGTCTCATATTAATCTTTTTTTTTACATTCTGGATGATAAATTTTTACAATAAAACAGCATCTTGCAAATAACTGTAGATGTATCAGAATAAATTTTAATTATATTTTAGCTGTATGTTTAATTGTAATGTAATATGCTGGCTATTCTACAAGGACAATACTTTTACTTCTACGGTACAAAATTAGGAACAAAATATTACTTTTCATAATGTATTCTTGCTGCTGCGGTTTTTGTTTCATCTCTGGTAGCTACTACGTGAGTTTAGCTGAGCTAAGAACAAACTTTGAAAAAACTGAACATCTTTACAGACTGCGACATCTTCATTTTATTGACTGAGTAATATTGAGCAAGAAACATTGTGATATGACATTTTATACAGTACTTATGTAACAGTGTCATAGAAATTCAATTCCTGAACTATTTCTCACTGTTCTTTTATCAGGCCTCTGCTCATACACTTACTGTAAGACATGTTTTTATAGTTTCTGCGATCATTTTTTATTGCTTTAAATCTAAATTTATCTAAGAAAACATTTATTTAGCTGGATTTACCTTCAGTAACAAAGCATCTGAGCATTAAGCTGTTTTATTATAGCTGTTTTCATTTAGGATCTGCACATGCAAAAACATTACAAAGTTACAACAATAAGTAATATTTCAATATATTTTAAAAGATTGTCAATATTTGTTCTGTAATTAAATTTTTTTTTGTTGAAACAAAAATTCTGATTCGATTATCTAACTGTTAAACCAAGTTCAAATCCAATCACATAACTAACAATCTGCTACCAAGTAAAAACACAGGTATGGCTCCGAACGAGCTCTCTGAGGTAGTGCAGGTTGAAAATTTCTTATAGTTTGCTTGTTTCTTCAAGCTGGATGAATACATGTCGCTTCGAATTCTCCATAACGATAATACTCAGAGGAGGAAGAATAAGACTAACAAAGCAATAGTAAAGTCACAATGCATCCTGACACAACAAGATTTTCTCTCCTAGACACACAAACACACTTAGGAGAGTCATCATTACATTAAAAAGTATATATAGCTTTCTAACTAATGTGTGGCAACAACATTGGTTTTCACTTGGTTAACTGAAATAATGGTACAGATATCCCAGCTGGTGTCTGCTGGGAAAAAAAAAAACTTCAAAAAGTCTAAATGACAAGGTAACATTTTAATACATTTTAAAAGTATTTGGATGGCACAGTATACTTACTAAAAAATTTTTTCAAAAGCAACCTAGTAAGAACTTAATTTAAAAGAACTGTAAATTCAAAGATCAACAATTCTGACCTTTAAACATATGTTCCCAAATGTACAGAAAACCAAACACGTTTCATGTTTTATAAGTAAAATCAGCTTCAAGTTAGAGCATATCCCGCCACACTAGTTCTTAGAATAGGAAGACATAGTTATTAGAACCCAGGGGGCTGGCTGGTGTTACATGCCTGTGACCGAGTAAAGTCTGCAGATTACAAAAAATACAAATTAAATTCTGCTACACTTCTACAACAGTGCAGGCTACTACTACACTCAATCACCTTGGGAAAACTGTGAGGCTGCAGCATATTTTGCATTCACTGAGAGTGAACTGAAGTACAGGCTACATTTTCCCCGTGAGGTCAAGACTATTACGCGACATTTGGAACAAAAATGGTGGTCCTCACATTAGGAGAATTTGTTCTTTCAGAGCAGTCAAAGGATGACAAAGTTGTTTTATATTTTGTTATAAAAACAAATAGATTTGTAATTCTTGATAACTTCTGTATCTTGGTTCAAAGTGAAGAAAGCCAGTTTACCTGGATATGCCATGCAGAAGAGATACAGTGAGTATGTGTGACTGGAGCAGGGATTCAGAGGAGGAAGTGCTATGTCCATATTAGGTGTGAGAATGAGCCTCAGTGCCCTGGACAAGATGTGAAAGGTGTCAGTATTTGCTGCTGGAGTTGTTAACACAGCGGCTGATGTAGGCTTCATAGATGGTGTCCAGGAATGAACCGTCAGTCTGAAACACACAAGCAGGGATCACCATACTGCATGTTTGTGTGCATGCATGCACACGTTTATTTGCACATATACGGTGCCTTTCTCATGCCCAACAAACTCAAGTGTGCAGCTTAGAATAAAACACCGACACAATAAATGGTAATTGTGAAGTGTAGTGAAGCCATATAATGCGTATGTTCATTGTCAGATACTTTCAGTATTATTCTTTTTACCCGGATCAGATGCAGCAGTGTGGCTTGCAGCTGGGTTTTGGACAAGACTCTGATCTCCTCCTGTAGCGGGGGTCTAGAAAGGCTTGAGGGGGCAGGGCAGCTCTCCTGGACAATAGCTGACAACCCGCTGCTAGACTTTGTTTGACTGAACACACTGGGAGACAGGAGCAGGGTGGGGGCCACAGTGGCTGGTATTCGCTGGGGGGAGATGACCTGGACATGTATGTAGTTTATGGTATGAAATTACTAGGTTGCTGATTTGATTTCAATGTTCTGCAATAAATAAATAAACAAACAAATACATACATACATAAAAAAAAACACAGTAAATGTGTCAGTTGCTATGCTCAAACTCAAAGTCAACTGATAACAGTGTTAATAGTGGGAATGTCCAGATACCAATCCCATCTACAAGATTCCAATCCAATACTTATATTTATCTACAGTAAATGCTCATTAAATATCTGAAATAATGAAATTGAAATTAATCTGGCACACTGAGTTTTTCAGGAGCTTCTTGAACCAAATGCTGGATCAGATCCTGTTTCCAAAATATTAGGTTTATTAGCTTCAATGATTGATATGAGTAAAAAAAAATAACTGGGAGCTGCACAACACACTCTCGGAGCTACAGACTTATTACAGGACAGATACTCACTACTACTTCATATACGTATGTGAACACGGTTTATGTGACCAGTCCAGTTTAGATATCCCTGTTTGACAATTTAATAACACAGCATTAATAAAAAGGTGGCGGCTATTGCAGCCCCATTGGACAAAAGCATAAAATTTAGCGTGTCTACACCGAAAGCACAACGTGTGCCACGGATAACATCTCACATGCACATTACTGGAGGCTCACATCAGTCTATATAAGACGTGTGTTCACTCTCTCATATGAAGTGCTTGGTGTACAAAAACACAGAAATGAGGCTGCAGGAACACTTTCGAAAAGGGAAAACTACAGTCCAAAACTCCAATAAATAAAAGAATTACTGGCTATGCTTTCTTGTATATGTACATTTTATCCAACCCATGATAACACACAGCAAATAAAAACTACACACACTTTAAAAAGAACTGCCATGTTCAGTAGAGGTAGTGGTGGAGTCTGTTAATGCATTGCTCAGGAAAAAATAGACTTGAAGCTAAAAATAGGCTTCAGCTTACGACTACGCATGAAAAATATAAACAACGTGCCGGTCGAAATGCATGCAGAGTAGATAGCTGGACTGATTAATATAGCAGCTTATCGGCTGTGTGACACATGTGCCTCAAAAACGTAACTGAGTCCACTCAAATTCAAGACTCTAGTTCTAAATAGGGATTGGAATTGAAACTGACTCAAATCTGGCCATTACAAATCCTGTGAAAAACACCCAGATCGGCGCTGATACCAACAGATAGTATCAGACATCTCTAGTGTTCATACTATGCTCAAACTCAAAGTCAACTGATAACAGTGTTAATAGTGGGAATGTCCAGATACCAATCCCATCTACAAGATTCCAATCCAATACTTATATTTATCTACAGTAAATGCTCATTAAATATCTGAAATAATGAAATTGAAATTAATCTGGCACACTGAGTTTTTCAGGAGCTTCTTGAACCAAATGCTGGATCAGATCCTGTTTCCAAAATATTAGGTTTATTAGCTTCAATGATTGATATGAGTAAAAAAAAATAACTGGGAGCTGCACAACACACTCTCGGAGCTACAGACTTATTACAGGACAGATACTCACTACTACTTCATATACGTATGTGAACACGGTTTATGTGACCAGTCCAGTTTAGATATCCCTGTTTGACAATTTAATAACACAGCATTAATAAAAAGGTGGCGGCTATTGCAGCCCCATTGGACAAAAGCATAAAATTTAGCGTGTCTACACCGAAAGCACAACGTGTGCCACGGATAACATCTCACATGCACATTACTGGAGGCTCACATCAGTCTATATAAGACGTGTGTTCACTCTCTCATATGAAGTGCTTGGTGTACAAAAACACAGAAATGAGGCTGCAGGAACACTTTCGAAAAGGGAAAACTACAGTCCAAAACTCCAATAAATAAAAGAATTACTGGCTATGCTTTCTTGTATATGTACATTTTATCCAACCCATGATAACACACAGCAAATAAAAACTACACACACTTTAAAAAGAACTGCCATGTTCAGTAGAGGTAGTGGTGGAGTCTGTTAATGCATTGCTCAGGAAAAAATAGACTTGAAGCTAAAAATAGGCTTCAGCTTACGACTACGCATGAAAAATATAAACAACGTGCCGGTCGAAATGCATGCAGAGTAGATAGCTGGACTGATTAATATAGCAGCTTATCGGCTGTGTGACACATGTGCCTCAAAAACGTAACTGAGTCCACTCAAATTCAAGACTCTAGTTCTAAATAGGGATTGGAATTGAAACTGACTCAAATCTGGCCATTACAAATCCTGTGAAAAACACCCAGATCGGCGCTGATACCAACAGATAGTATCAGACATCTCTAGTGTTCATAGGGGTTACCTGAAATTGCAATGCAGCCTTTTGACCTGCATTGGCTGTAGTCTGGTTTGGGCTTAGAACTGAGCCTGCACCTTGACTTGGAGTGGGCCCCAGGAATCGAGGAGCAAGTCCTGGACAGAGACGAGGGGGGTCATGGGAAGCTAGGTTTTGCTCCTGCTGGACCAGCTGGAGCTTTTGGAGGAGCTCATGAGGAGACAGCACACCTGGCATCTGTGAAGACAGACCTGACAGGAGACAATGAGGCTCCCAATCAATGGAATTATTATAACTGTTTACATACACAGACCAGGCAATTTGGAGGCATTTTCCAGTTCACATAGAAAAATGGAGATAGAGGTCATTCACATCTAAGAGATATTCAATAAGAAAGACACTGAACAAATTTATTGATTCGATAAACAACATTTTTGCAAAGTAGAATCTGTGTAGCACTTTGTTAAAGTTTGTGTAACACAACACAGACAACACAAAGCGACTATTTATACTTTTAAGAACACTGATATCATACCTTGTGAAGGTTGAATGACTTGGTGATTGGTCACCTGAGATGGCAGCAAACCTAGTAAAACAAGAAAACTATCACTGAAAATACTCATTTACTAGCTATTATTGTATACCTTAAACTATCTATTATTGTAGTAGACTTGTAGTATTTACTTATTATTTAGCTAATACATATTTTAAATTTGCCAGAAAAGTGGTATCAAAGTGTATGTGGCTTATTTAGTACATGGTCATACTGTTTATTCATAGCATGGTTATCCCTTAAAAGATGTCCCACCTGCTGCCTGTGCAGTCAAAGCTGACTGGCTGCTCTGGACATCTGGCTGAGGCTTAGAAAGGCTGAAAAACAGCTGCTGGCTCTGTTGTACTTGAAGTTGGGGATGTGACACAGAATTCCCCATGATGGGCTTGGGAGAGAGATGGGGACTGAGCTGCAGAGGAAGAGGGTTGGAGCAACCAGGGGGAGCAGCAGAGGAAATGGAGGTAGAGGGGAGAGGAGGTGGCTGTGTTTGAAAAAGTCTCTTGATTGGGTCAGGTTGAGGCTGTTGATAGTGATGATGGTGCTGCTGCTGCTGATGATGATGATGGTAAAGATGGTGATGGTGGTGGTGATGCTCCAGTGGTACCCCACTATCACACAGCCTGTTCTCAGGGGATTCGGACACAGTCTGAAGCACCCCACTCACACCTCTCTGTCCTTGCATGAGCTTCTGGATGGCTGGGCAGTGCTGTGGCTGATTCTGCTGCTGAGCAGGACTCGGCAGTAGGCCTGCAACAATAGTTCCATTATCTTCTCTGACTGCAGCCCTAACCACTCCATCTGAACACCCGGAAAGAATGATATTCCCTCCCTTGGAGGTCACACTTCCACTAGAGTTCACTGTATCATCGTAGGTTAGT